GGGGGTATGAAGAAATCCTGTCAGATATCTCCTCAAAACTTGAGTCAGACACTGCTCAGCTTGACCATTGTGTCCATTTTGTCATGGCAAGTGCAAACACACTCACATCAATGATAACCAAACCTCAGCAGTGTTTGGAAAAATATTCTGTATGAAAAAGAATACCGCAGATGTGAGAGAACGTGCAAGTGTGATGATAACCAAAAAAAAATCTGAAAGATGTGTTGGATAAGCTGGTGCAGTGCTTGGAAGAAAGATTTTCTGGCACATCAGAAGATAAGGTTTTGAAGAGTGCAAGGATATTTGACTGGATAAGTGTGCCTGAAACTGACAAAATGGATGAGCTGAAAGAATATGGTGAGACACAGATAGATGACTTGAAAGCTCATTACGAGACTGCGCTTCAACACCAAGGATGCTCAAACACTGAAAATAAAGAAATAGTGGTTCATGTTTCTCCCCGAAAGTCAGGGCATAATACCTCTCAATGAGAACAAGACAAGTTCAATCCTGAAAAAAGCAAGGAAATGTCCCAATCTGTCCCATTTGGCTCATATTAGTCTCTGTTTTCACATCATCCACAGCCGAGGTAGAAAGGCAGTTTTCATTGATGAAGCGCATCCTTAGTGACTGGAGGCATTTGCCTTCTAGAGATATGCTTGAATACATCATGCGACAGAAGGGCGAGAGCCCAGCTGTTGCTGGATTGATAACAACAATACATCATGCTTATGTGTCCCAATGGCCCTGAGATCAAAGACTTCAACCCAGAACCCTGCATTGCCAAGTGGCTAGAGATATGTCTCACAAATAGACGTCCTGATAATACAGCACTATTCCCTGAAATCGTCTTCTCTGGTGACACTTTTTAAAATCACTTGTTTTTTTTAAGGGACTAACAGTAAGCCAGTCTTTTTCAATATTGTGTGTGCCAACATATTTTCAATATTCTGATCTAGTCATAAGTCATATGACATGCTGTTTAACAACAGTTTTTAGTTATTCATTCTTTTTCCCCATAAATAAGTTCAAAATTTGTTTTCATTCACCACGATTTGTTTTTATTTTATCACTATACTGCCTGAAAACCACTCTGAATCTCATTAATGATTAATGTGCTACCTAATTGGTCATTATATCATTTACTGTTTTCTATTGTGCCCAATTTCCAACAGTTATATATTCAATATTCATATTAATCCAATCAACAGGGGGTAGTCATAAAGGCTTTTACGTCAGATGCAATCGTGATCGTTATCTATTATCTATTTGTGGTGGCCGAAATTTGCTATTCAAAAGGCTTTTTAATGGCTGCATCGATCGACATGCGGTTTTCGCCCAAAAATTCTTTAAAATATTCTCCAGATCATGGCGCCCTTGGTTTTTTTTTCAGTTTTGAGACAGTTTTGCTGCAAAAAG